GTGTCTGTGGGTGAGATTCTACCACTCCCTGTATAATGAGTCAGTAGGTGCCATGAAAAGGCTGTGCAGGATGTCCTCCCTGTCAGTAGGTGGTGCTTGCTTGGAGGAATAGGCTACGCTGTTGTTTTTGTGTCCTGTTATCCACCTTTGTTCCTGTAGAGAAAACTCTAGTGCCTCAGGTGCTGGGTGGGGCTCTCGGACTTTCAGGTGTGTCCTTTTCTCCCCTTCAGTGAGGGCTGGTCTAGGAGAGAGTCTGGGAGGAGCTGGGTTTGGTAAGCCTGCCAAGCCTGCCCTTAGGCACCACCAATGCTGTTAGCAGGGGTCAAAGTTCTGTTCTCTGCTTCCAGGATAAGCTGTCAGGGAGGGGCTGGAATGGCCCTGCTCAGTCAGAGAGTCTGCGTGTGGGGGTGGGGCTGTCTGAGACCCGCAGTCTTGAGCGAGCCTCGCTTCTTTCCACCCTCCCCAACTCCGCAGCTACTACTGGGCCTCTGCCAGCAGGCCAGACCACACGCCACCAGGCCTCCCCTGGCTGTGCTGCCGGTGGGGCCACTCCCTGCACAGGAACGCCACCTGGGCTGGGCACACGGCCTCCTTTTGGGAGGAGAGTTGCCCTCTAGGACGCCTATCTGCCCCTCAAGGCACACACACCTCAGTAGGCTGTTCACGTATATCCCTTCTGTGCCCCGGGCAATGCAAGACCTTGGTGCACGGGATATGGTCTGCAGGTTTGACCTCTGGTCCCCAAAGTTCAAACTATATCCCCACCAGGGAGAGGAGTGCCAGTCTCAATTCACCCACAGGGAGCCCATGCTGGGTCTATGTCTCTCAACCTCAGGGTCTGCCCTGTTCTCCTGGGATCACCGTGCCAGCAGCACCTGGGAGGGCTGGCGGGTAGGGAGCTCACACTCTGAGTTCCCCTTAGTCAGCTGTAGGGCCCCAAAAGGGAAGGACCCGTTCCCTGTAGGTGCCTCGGGCTGGTGGCTATATTATCTGTCTGTCTCTCTGGGCAGCCACGGGTAGGGTCGGGGGAGGGGAGAAGGAGGCAATATGGCGCCTGTCGCGCGGCTCGGGTCTGTGCACACGGAGGTGCCCGAGGGAGTTGGGAGTCTGGTGGCGAGTCCGCTACTGGATCACCGCTCACTGGCAGCGGCTGTCGCTGCGCTGGTGTACACAGGTCTCTCCACTGGCTGGGGAGCCCACCAGCAGTCTGGGATGCAGGGGAGGGGTAACGGCTAATCCACCTACATTTCCCGCTGGTCTCTGGGCTGCTCCGGGGGTCCCAGCTTCCAGTTCTCCTCCGTGACCTCCTCCCGTGGAGTCTCCCGTGGTCTCAGGTACCCCTCCTTCCGACCCTCGTCCACTGTATGCTCGTCTTCTTGGTTCTTTCTTCTAATTTCTGCTAGAATTGGTCTTTTCTGCAGAGACATTCTGTCTGGCGGTGTTTCTCATCCGCCACATTCTCTGGATCCATGAGCAAGTGGGTTTTAAATTATCTTCTAAAATAAATTTTAATTTGAGATTCAAAATCCCTTTCTAAACCACATTGAAATGGGTCATAAACCTAAATGAAAGATAAAACTATAAAATTTCTGGAATAAAACAGGAGAAATCTTACTGCAGTTTGGTTAAGCAAAGATTAAATAGGACATAAAAACATGAAATGAGAAATAAAAAATGATAACTTGGTCTCAGTAAAATTTAAAAGATTTGTTTTAAAAAAACACTGGTAAGAAAATGGAAGGGCACCATGAGCAGCAGTCTCCAGCAACACTTGCACAAGTGCCAGAGTTTTTGCAAATGGTAGAGCTGCAGATCTCACTGAAGAACCATGCCCCTAAGGAGGACAGTCAGTTCTTGGGTACTATCTGGCTTAAGTCCACTCTCTGCCCCAACTCCTCCGTATGTGTCCTGGGGTACCAGCAGCCTGCGACAAGGCCCAGGCTATGGATATCCCCCACCTGGATATCTAGGCGCTGAAGAAACTCAACAAAATTAAAAGCTGAATGAGAAGTATGATGATTTTTTGGCCTCAGAGTCTCTGATCAAGCAGAGGTAAAGTCCACAATCAAGTTCCAGATGAACGTGCTGTGTCTGTCAGTGGCTGTTGGCCATGTAAAAATGAAAGCTGATGAGCTCGTGTACAATATCCACTAGGCTATCAACTTTTTCATGTCACTGCTCAAGAATTGGCTTTACACATCAAGAGCACAATGGTCTTTTGAACTGCCCTTTACTTTTCCAATGTATGAATGAAACATAAATGTAGCCGGAGTCCTACTTAGGAACCCATAGTTTGTTTAGAGTTGTTTGCTCTTATCAACAGTTCTCAGTGAATGAATGTCTTTTGTTTAATCTATATACTGAAACCATGTCTGAGATATTTGTTTTAGAGTGGATGTAGTAAGCCAAAGGATAGGTCCTTTAAAATTTTTAGAGCTAGTAAGAAATTAATATCCATAGAGGTGGTATCAGTTATACCTTCATGAGCAATGTGTGAATAGGCCACAGCCTATCCCATAGTGTCAGCAAAATATTTGTTTTGTGGCATTGGTATCTTACTTTGGTTTAATTTTGACTTCATTGTTTCTTAACTTTTCTTTTTGGGTAAATTATCATCTTGTATCTTTTGCCAATTTTCCTATCGGACTATTAATGTTTTCTTCCTGATTTATAGGAACCATTAATACATTAAAGAAATAACCACTTTCCTGTGACTGGAGTTACAAAATTTTCCTTCCATTTTGCTGGTTGCCATGGCTTATTCTAGTAGTTGAATTAACTGATGCTCTTCTTTCATTCGTTTTAAGTTTTTTTTTGTCATCATAGACACTTTTCCTTTTTTGTGAATATAATTACATACTCTTTTTTTTCATTAAAAATTGATTCATCTGCAACACCTAAGTGGACATATAGGAGTAACATTTATCGGGTGTTGGGAGGGTGGGAAGGGGGTGGAGGGGATGGATATATACAACCACAACGAGTGAGATGTGCAATGTTTGGGGGATGGACACACTTGAAGCTCTTACTCGGGGGAGGGGGGATGGGCAATATATGTAACTTTAACACTTATACCCCCATAATACGCTAAAATAATAAAAAATAAAATAATAATAATAATAAAAAATTGATCCATCTGGAAATTATTTTAGTGTAACATAAGAGGTTAAGAATCAGTGACATCAAGTGCTTCCTGTCAAACCAAAAATTGTGCAACCCTTTCCATCCTAACATGAAACTGCAACTGAAACATGGCTGCTCAATCAAGAATTACATTTTCTAGTGCCCTTTGTTTCCTTGTGTAGCCATGAACCAGTAATCAGCTACAGATTATAAGTGGAAGTGACATGTGTCACTTCCAGGCCATGATTTTTAAGAAATTTTCTGTCCCATCCTATCACCCAGACATAGGAAACAGAGGAGCCCCTTTGCATTGTGGTACATAAATTGGCAGAAACCTGGGTTCCTGAATCATCATGATCAAGGTAGCTAGCTATTCACTGACCAGGAACATCTATAGTGACTGCTACTTCAGTGAGAAGTACATTTCTATTGTTCTAAGCCACTAAAAATGTTGAGGATTATTTATTGAAGTGGCTAGTATGGGTTTACTAATAAAGAATCTAATGAAGGCACAAGGTGTCCCCAATCACTTGTGTCTGAGCACACTTCATCTTTTTCAGTAAGTACCATGCCCACTGGCACTGAAAGAGATAGTTAGTTATGGTTAAGAGATAGTTATAATACATAGCACATGTAAAGGATCTGGAAGAAAGGTGGTATATCAGTGGGTGATTTTCAGAGCTAACCATTGTTAAAGTGACAATTCTATTCCGTGTACTAGTGTCATCCACATTACTAGACTAGACCATGGCAGAATCTCAAAGTAAAAAGCAGAGGTATAGCAAACCAATCCAGGCTTATTTTAATTCTACTATGAGAATAATAATACTTAATGTAAAATAAGACATCCAAGAAAAATTTAAAATAGGTGGTTTGCCAGGACAACAGGATAAAACAGTTCTGGCTGCAGGAAACAGAGTTAACAATTGCAAAGGAAACTTATCAGCGACATATATTAAGCAGAATAGTCCTTCATTTGTAAATATGAGTGGATAATGAAAGATTACATTTGGGAAATACATAAAGAAAGAGGAATATAAGCTTATAAAATACTCAAAGAACTGAACTACAAATATTTGGTAATTAAGCTAATGGCGAATTAAAAAATATTCAAGCACGGCATTATGAACTTTTTCTCTTTGCTGCCCAATAATAACAGATATTGGAAATGCTTGAGCCTTTGAAAAACTACTTTGCAAATCAATCATGTCTTAAAATGGATTTGTATAGTTTTGTTAATGAGTCTTCTATTCCTTTTTGTTGCAATTTGTTCAAAACTACTTTTGAATCTTCAAAGTGCTCAGTGAAGGGAACATGAAAGAAACTAAAGTTTTGAAGCCTTTAGCAAATTGGAATTATTGAAAACAAAGTTATTAAAAGACAACCATTGAAATTATCACTACAAAAATGAGAGAGGAAATGAACAAATCAAATAGAGCTCAAGCACTGTACATGATTTAGTTTTGAAATTTTATAACTGTGTTTTATACTTTCTCAATTTGTGAGAAAAATTTTTTGATGAGCTTCCATTTTTTTGGCATAAATTTATATTCTGCACTGGAAGAAATGAAATAGAAAACCTATTATTTTGCAATATCTTCATTTAGTTTGGCAAAACACTCAATATAATCAGAAATAGAGACCACTTATTTGATTAGTTTTATCTTATAGAATATTTGTCTAAAATAATAATCTCAATGAAATAAAAAAGACAGCAATGATGAAAATATTTGGACTGAAATATTTAAACATTTCAATATAAAAAAGCATAATTAATAAACCTTCACATAGTCAAATTTTCCTAAGCTTATCGGGAATCTTATCACTACATGTAGAAAGTATTTTTTCAATAAAATATGGGCCACACAAAGAGTCTATTTCAATAGAAGGTGTCAACTATTCAAATTTATTAATAACGCAAACTTGTAAGAATATTACAATTTTATGAACCAACTAAAACAACAAGAACATATTTGTAATTGAGTCCCAGAAGGAGAGGAGAGAGAGAATGTAGCAGAGAAACACTGGAAGAAATAAAGGCCAAAATATTTCCAAATGTGATGGAAATTATCAAGCCACAGATCCTACAGCTCAAATACATTGAAGGTTACATAGAAAAAACATAATAGTCAAATTGCTGAAAATCAATAATAAAGTGAAAATCTTAAAAATAGCTAAAGAAAAAAAGGCATATTATATAGAGAGGAAGAATGTAAGAATTGGGCTGAATTCTAATGAAAGCATTGTATCAGGAAGACAATGCAATGACATCTTTCAAGTGCTGAAAGAACAAAACCTTTTCCACCTAGAATTCTATATACAGTTAAAGTTTTCTTTAAAAATGAGGAGAAAATAAAGGCATTGTTTGATCCATGGGTCAAAGAAGAAATGACAAAAGAAAGAGAAATTTGTTTTGCAATGAATGATAATGAGCACCCATACAGATGCTCCTTGACTTAACAATGGGGTTGCATCCTCAATGATAACCCCATTCAAAACTGATAATATTCTAACCTGAAATGCATTAATATACTTAACCATCATAGGTTAGTTTAGCTTACTTGAAACGTACTCAGGGCACTTACATTAGCCTATAGTTGGAAAAATCATCTAACACAAAGCCTATTTTAAAATAGTGTCAAATATCTCATGTAATTTGTGGAATACAATACACTGTAGAGTGTATTGTGTATGGGCTGTTTACTCATGATCCCACGGCTGACTAGAAGCTGTGGCTTGCTGCTGCGGCCACTGCCAAGTATCACGAGAGAATAGCGTACCACATATCACTAGCCTGGAAAAGATCAAAATTCAACATTCGAAGTATGGTTTCTACTGAATGAGTATCACTTTCACACCATCATAAAGTCAAAAAATTATAAGTTGAACCAGTGTAAGTCAGGGAACATCTATATAAACATTTATGGATATGGGTACAGTAAAGATATTTTAATATAAGACTAATTAATTTTTCTCAGGATATTTTAAATAACATTTTAAAATGAAATTTCCAAGTCAAGGAAACATGCATTTGTTTTAAGTTTATTGACTATTCTTAATAGTGCATTTTTTTAATCAGATAGGATTGGGGCAATCAGGAATTCTATAATTCATCTTTGATTTGTTAGCGGATATTCAAATAAAACGTGGAAAAAGGGTTAAGAATACTGGAATAAAAATTAGGCCATGAGCAGCCCCAAATAACATAACAAGAAACATAATCTTAAAAAATATCCTGAAGACGTACGCTTCAGCTGTAGATAAAACAGACACCCCTATTATTGTTGAAACTGCACTTTGTAACACTGGGTAGCCTAGCTCATGTAAGGCTTGAATTGATTTTTCGTTTACTGAGGGGTGAGAACTGGAAACAAATGCATAGGAAATGTGTGCAGAAAAATCGAAAGAAAACCCTATACAAATGACGAGATTAATCATGGATATGGAATCAAGATTGACATTCCAGAATGCCATGAAACCCGTTACTCCCACAATCACAGAAGCAATAGCAAAAGTTACCCACAAGGAACACATTGGATGAGGAATTAACAATAAGGAAACAATGAACATAGCTGCTGATGCAACCATGACATTTCGAACAGTATTTTCTAATATTGCGGCAAACTGATCAAAATATATGAATGCCTGGTTAAACACTAGTAGGGGAATTTCGCACTTTTCGGCTATGCTTCGTAATTGGATTAACATCATCTTCTTACTGGTTGAGGTAGAAATATGCGCAGTCTGAATGAAGCCCCGGGAACTAATGATTTCATGTGATGATGAAATATTAATATCATGCATAAAAACTGGAAGATAGTTTACAAAAACAGAAATACCATTTAAAAAAGTATTCTTATCATTAGGATCTTGTCCGCTACCTTTCATGTATTGCACATAAGCTCGTAACCAAAACTCTGTAAGACTTGCATCTACATAGTGATTTTTTTCAAAATCTATCATACATTTTTCCAATTTTTGCCTAACTTCTTCATTCCAGTAGTCAATACTTTTAGTAATGACAACCATAACCCTGGGACCATAGTCTGAAAAATAATCTTCCTCTACATTAAAATATGGTGTGATGTAGGAATCATCACTTGCCAGACTTCGAAGGTCTAAACCCTCCTGTACTCGGAAACACCCATATATACTACTGACAATGTACAAAAAGTATAGCACCACTACAAAAACCTTGGACTGAGTATTTGTGATCAAAGGACCAAAATAGTCTCTAAAGAATGCATTCATTGGATGGATGTCAGTTCCCTGTTCATCTACGACAGAACCAAATGGGAAACAGAACTTTTTTAATGAGGAACATTTTTGGTCACGAGTCTCTGGCTTTTTCACCCAGCGTAGGCAGAGTACTTCTCTTTTACCATCTAGGGCCATAAATGCTCCAAAACAAGTGATGTTATACATATAACTAAATAACAGGGTTGTTCCTGTATAGATGCAAAAGTACTGTACGGACCTGAAAGAGCTCATAGTCCCTGTATAGAAAGCCAGGACGTTGGTGAGTGTGGTGATTGTAATGGACACTGCCACCTTTGAATAGACGTTGGACATCCGCTCTTGTATGCTTTCTGCGAGTCTGGTCTTCTGCCAGGCAGCAACCATGATAAACATGTTATCAACTCCAACACCTGTGAAAAAGAAGTAGAATCTTCATACATATTGATATCCATTAACAACTGAACAGATTGATTCAAACCATTTTCTTTCTCTATCTCTTAAGGTCTTATTTATTTTGCCCAATCTCTGCTTTAGATACTACCTTCTCTGTGATGCTTTCTCTGGTTGCCTCTGAATTCACAACAGAATTTGTCACTCCTTCCTCTGTAATAAGTCTCTGCTTTGTACATACTCCTGTTAACTGCACATAGCACAGTGCACTCCTAGTCTTCACTTAGGGTGTCTGTAATGATGAGATCAGGAAACCTGGCTGATTGGGTGTCAGTTGAGCAGCATTAACAATGTATCATTGTTCTACTAGACTGATGAGAGATCATTTTCTCTCATAAGACATTTCATGCTAAGGTACAGACACATCCAGCCAACAATCTGCCACTTAAAATAGAAGCTGGATTTATGGGTTCTACAGGTAGCTTCTGGCTATCTGTGTGGTATACATAGTTTATGGACACATATATAGGCACAAGCACAAACGTAGTTTTTCTGCTAGTCTGTTTTTGATACCTAGAATGTTATTATTCAAACTTCACCTGTCCAGGTTAAGGCATTATCTCATAACAATTCAACCACTCCTAAGATCAGAAGCATGTACCAAAGTAAATCTTAAGAATTCTTTACATATCAATGCCTACTAGGTAATTAATTCCTTTGCTCAATGACATTTCAGATTGGTGTGGAATAGAGAGAACGAGAAAGCGTTTGAGGACTTAAAGTCATCACTGAAGACTGGGGAAGGAGTATTACAAAGAAAGGGGACTGAAAAGAGCAGCACGAGCACGTTGCAGGTAAATTTTACCTCCCTCATACTTTCTACTAGAGTTGACACTACTTCCATTCATATATGTCTTTGTTTCCATGTGTATTGATACGAAATTGGTGCTTGGAACTGAAATGTTGATCTTAATTTCAATTTTTTCCCCACAGATTACATGCTCAAGTTAGGAGAATACTGGGAATTGCACCCTTGCCTCTAGTTCAGATGTTCAGTGGATATGATTAAGGTAGAAGGATCCAAATTGTCACAAGTCTATGCAGCCTGTCCCAGACTACACAGACTGTGTACTGTGGCACCCATCTGCTGCCGGCTCTGAGGATTCCAGTCGTGTTCAGCACAACAAAAGGGAAGAATCAGAAATGCTAAGAGACCGAGAATAAACTCATTGATATTTTTTAGGTATTTTAAAACTAATATTAATATTTATAGAACTTTGTTCAGAAATTGTGCTCACACATTCCTTGCTTAAAGTTGCTGAAATCATATGCGCATACATACACACACATGTGTACATATGTGCACGTGCACACACTCCTGTGTACACACGAGCTACACAAAAATGGCTTATATCAAATCAATCAGATATACCTTAATCATTCGGCTGTGGGTCACCGAATGATTGCGTGTGACTGTGCATGAGGAAAGAGTGCCCTGAAAAACTAGAGCAAGCAAGCTGATACCCAGTGCACAGCTCGCTTGCTGTGGCCGCCAGAAAACCAAATACTATTTCTTCCAAGGTGTTTACTTTCTAAAATATAAGCATCTTTATTTCATGAGGCTTACTATAAAATATATTATGAAATTACCAGAAATACAAAGAAAAATTGAAAACAACTCTAATTCTACCCTTCAGGAATAATTCCTGCTAGCATTTTAATATATATCCGTCCAGAATTTGTTCTATACAAATATACACATATAAATGTCTATTTTGAACATCTTGTTTTATAACCAGAAATTTTCATTTAATATTAGATATCTCCCTCTTTTAAAAGATTGAATATAATTCTCATGTTTTAATATGCTGTGTTTGATTTGACTAATCTCATACTGATATGGAATTAGGTTGTTTTAATATTTTCCTATTCTAAATCATATTGAAATGAACACACTTATGCTAATTTTGAGCACTTGTCCAATTATTATGACAAATTCCTGAAAATGGAATTGGTGGGTCCCTTTTAAAGTCTTGATTTGTTCCAAACTTGGATGAAAAAAAGTGTGTATCAATTTGCATGTTGCCCCAGCAGACCATGAGCTTGCATCACTTGCACAGAACCTTCCAAAAATATTGCTAGTATTAATAAAAAAAGATGTCTTAGTTTTGATTTAATTTACATCCCTTGATTAATTGAAAGGTCAATTTTTTTTCTTATACTGTCCTATACCACATAATGATGTTTCGGTCAATAACAGACCACATATATGTTGGTGGTCCCATATAATGGAGCCGAAAAATTCCTATCGCCCGTCCATGTCACAGCCTTCATAACGTCATAGCACAACTGGCTACTCACGTGTTTGCGGTGATGCTGGTGTGAACAGGCACGTTGCTCTGCCAGTCATACAAAAGCGTAGCACATACAATTGTGTACAGCATACAATACTTGATAATAAATAACTGTTACTGGTTTATGTATTTACTATACTATACTATACTTTTGATCATTGAGAGTATATTCCTTCTACTTATGGAAAAAAAGGTTAACCATAAAACAGCCTCAGGCAGTTCCTTGAGGAGCCATTCCAGAAGAGGCATCGCTGTCACAAGAGATGACAGCTCCGCGTGTCATTGCCCCGGAAGACACACCAGTCAGACAAGATGTGGCTGATACTGATCATTCTGACTCTGGGTAGGTCTAGGCCAATGTGTCTTAGTTTTTCACAAAAAAGTTTTAAAAGTTTAAAAAAAAACTATTAAAAATAGAGAAAAGCTTATAAAATAAGGATATAAAGAAAACATTTGTGTACAGCTATCCAATGTGTGTGTGTGTTAAGCTAAGTATTATAAAAGAGTCAAAAAGTTTAAAAAAAATTTAAAAGTTTAAAAAGTAAAAAAGTTATAGTAAGCTAAGGTTAATTTATTGTTGAAGAAAGAAAAATATATTTTTAAAAAATAAATTTAGTGTCATCTAAGTATGCAGTGTTTATAAAGTCTACAGTAGTGTACAGTACTGTCCTAGGCCTTCACATTCACTCACCACTCACTCACTGACTCACCTAGAGCAACTTCCAGTCCTGCAAGCTTCATTCCTGTTGTACGATATACAGGTGTGCTATGTTTTTTATTCTTTATACTGTTATTTTACTGTATCTTTTCTGTGTTTAGATACAAAAATACTTACCATTTTATTACAGTTGCCTATAGTATTCAGTACAGTAACATGCTGTACAGGTTTATAGCCTGGGAGCAATAGGCTGTACCATATAGCCTAGGTGTGTAGTAGGTTATATTATATCATCTAGGTTTGTGTAAGGACACTCTATGATGTTTGCACAAAGATGAAGTTGCCTAATTATGCATTTCTCAGAACCCTTGACAGTAAGTGATACATGACCATATTTTCAGTGACTTGTATTTTGTTTTTTATATGAACTGCTGTTCACATCCACTGTTTTTCCATTTGGGCTACTAGATCTTTCTACCTCTAAAGATACACAGTTAAATTTGATTTTCCAGTTTCCAGACACCTCATTTTGGGTCTGGAGAGCTACAACTCTTTCATGTATCTATGCCACACCCCCACATGCACAAGGTAGCCTCACATTTGTTTTACTCACCTAGAATAAGAAACGGTGAATTTGCAACTATCATCACGAACGGCATCCCCACGTGCAGCAGGAGGCCAAAGCCGCTCACCACTGCCAAGAAAGTACAAATCACTCCAAAGACTGCAACCCACATTTTGTTTCGTACACAGTCCAACCTGTAAATTTGGAAGGAAAAGTCATGGAATTTTTGGTGGTAGCATCTCTACTGAAATTCCATCCATTGATAGCATTCTTGCCTTGGACACCTATTCAGAAACCTCTGGGGCAATAATTTCCACACTTGTCTGTTGGAGACCTTTAATTTCCAGGTACTATCCCAGACCAACTGGAAAAAGAATAAAAAAAAGGGGGAACAGAAAAGTTGAGAATCTACCAAACTCTTCTAGGTAATTCTTATGCAACTAGCCAAGCACTAATTCGCCAACTAGCATTTCAGAACCACAAAGAATTACTAAAACACTGCGGATGGTTAGTCCCACTCTGATCTTCGGAAGGATGTGAATGGAATATAACAGGCAATGGAGGGCAAACTGTACTGGAGAAAGAGAACATACTGAGTTATCTTTTTTATTCCCCCTGAACTCCAACTAGCCATAAACATAGTACTAAATAGTTCCTGTATCTCAAAGCTAGTTCAATGCATGGTGTGGTTAAAAAAGAGTATGAAAATCTTCTTTTAAATAATTTTCAGGATTCTTTTTTACTGGTGAAGTGGGTTCTGTGGAAAAATTGCTACTAATTTGGAAAAGAAAAAAAGGAAATATGTTACAGTTTGAATGACCCAACTTATGACTGTTTCGCCTCTCCAATAACCATGACATTACATTTTAAAATATTGGCAACAACCTCTAGTTTTAGATTTTACTTATTAGAAATTGCTTCGAACAAATGATTGGACACTTTAGTCGAGAAGAGAAGTTTGGGATTGAAGTCTAGGAAAGACAACTGAAGAACTGGAGCCACTGATTTCAAAACAGCAGAAACATGACTAAAGACCTGCAGGCAAGATGATATTTAAATAAATAAAATTTCTTATTATTAATAAAATTTTGGCTGAATTTCACTTTTTTTCCAACCTGCTAGTCCTATTTATTAAATCCAGGGCCCCAAATCAACATATAAACACATATTAATTCCAGGGAAAAAGTCAATTGCTTTGTTATAATATAATTTTATTATAACACTTTCTTAAAACAACAATATTGGTTCACAGGAGTTCAAGATAAGAAAGTAACAAAGATGAAATTTGAGGTCGGGCATGGTGGCTCACGCCTGTAATCCTAGCACTCTGGAAGGCTGAGGAGGGTGGATCATTTGAACTCAGGAGTTCGAGACCACTCTGAGTAAGAGCGAGTCCCCATCTCTACTAAAAATGGAAAGAAATTAATTTGCCAACTAAAAATATATAGAAAATATTAGCTGGGTAGGGTGGCGCATGCCTCTGTAGTCCCAGCTACTTGGGAGGCTGAGGCAGGAGGATCACTTGAGCCCAGCAGTTTGAGGTTGCTGTGAGCTAGGCTAACACCACAGCACTCTAGCAAAAAAAAAAAAAAAAAAAAAAAGATGAAATTTGAAACCAGAGAGATTAATGAAGATAAAAATTATATGTGACATGTTCATTCCAATTCTTTTTTTACCGTTTTTGTTTTTTTTAGGTGTGAATTTTTCAGGGGATGGGGGAATGAGGTATAGTATTGATTGTAGTAACTTTACTTTGGCTACCTGCTGTGTTGACTTTCTTTAAATGGGCTTTCTTTTAATGCTCAATGGACAATGGAAGGAAAGCCTTGAGAATTCTTTTTTTTTTAAGCTTAATATTTCAGTATTGTATGAATTACGCATTCCCAGTGTTCCCTAGCCAGTATTAGGTTTCTAGACAGTAAAAAATTCAAGTTTAATATAGAAAAAAATTGCAGATACAGAAAAAGAAATATTTTATACTGTCTTATCAAAATAAAAAATAAACACCATATTGAGTAATGCTAGAAAAAGTCTTTTAGAAATTGAATCAGTTATGCTACTTACCTTAATAATAAAATCATATGACTTTCTTGGTTAAAAAAAAAACTTACAGGGAACAAAGGGAGACAAAAATAAAGTTGCTTTATGTTTAAACCTATGTGTCCTGTGTGTTCAATATGTTGGTTACATAAGCATAAAAAAGTTTTCAAAGACAAATATAAATAATTTTCTAATTGCCTTTAATATAAGATTTTTCTACATTATTGTCTATAATCATTTGTAGAGATAAGCAAGAACTGGCTATAAATTTGAATCTTCAAAATCAACTATCTAGTAGAAAAGTTTTGTCAAACCAATTGTTGGTACCTTGTAGATTCCATACTAATTTTAAAAATGCTTTTTTTTTTTTTTTTAAATCGTGCTAACTTTAATAAGACTGCATTTTCCTTTATTTTTTCCGCTTCTTTTTTTGTTCTTTATTTTCTAAGGGATGTGGTCTTCCTATCCAGACTAACAAAAGTATGAAGTAGTTTATTGACTCTAAAGGGATTCCCATTGTGCTCAAGTCCTTTACCTCATCTTTTTCTTCCTTAAATCTAGATAGGTTAAATTATATCATTTGTTACTAACCCTACCTACACATGAGAATTAGCTAGAGAAATTTCTGAAATATAGATTCCTAGATTTAACCCCAAGGTATTTTGATTCAGTAGGGCAGGGCCTGAAAATGCACGGTTTAGGGCTCTCTGGGTGACTCTAATGTGGAATAATAATCTGTGGGATTCCTTCTACATCTAAGTTCTATTGTTTGTTGATATCTTTCGTATTTTAGTTTTCTGATCTCAAGAACTCAAACTATCTCTAATTTAAATGCTTAGCAAGGTAAACCTCACATCAGAACAATGGAGACATCCAATTAAATTAGAGCTTAATATTTTTATATATTTAGGTACTATTTCAAATTTATAGTAGAAATAGGACTGCTTCTTAGTTCTAACAACTTATATGCCTTCAAAATAGAACAATTAATCATAACTGATGCAATATGTAAGGTTAAAAAAGATAATGCCAAATCAAACAAAACTGGCCACAGTTTATTTTTACTATTCCATTTGATTCTACACTATTGCTGATGGGTAAACGTTTTTAAGTCACCAGGTTTATAAAATAACGGTTTAGCACTGGATGTCAGCAAAATGGCAGAGTTGCAAGCTCTTGTCCTTTCACAGAAACATCAAAAAACAAGCAGAAAACATCAGAACCAATTTTATGAACTCTGGAAAACAATGAAAAGTTACAGCAACCAAGCGAGTAATGAATCCAAAAAAAGGCACTCCAAGACCGGCTTTGTAGTAGTTTTACCCACCCCCCCTCCCTCCCTGGTGTGTAGCAGTCTTAAAGTAGTGAGAATCTTAAAGTGGCCACAGTCTTAAAGTGGCAATAAACTTAAGGCAACAGCAATATTAAAGTGATGACGGCGCACATTCTCAGTGTGGGGCCGTTTCCCTGGATCTCGAGGGAGCAGAGCAGACCTTATTCAGAAAATATTGTATATGGCTTTCCTAACCTGTCTGGGGCTACTTGGACTGATAGAAGGTGCTCCTCTCTGTTTTGCCTAAGTCAAAACTCAGGCTGAAAAAGCTGGCAAACATCATAACCAACATGAATTAACAACTCTCAGATGCTTGGGGCCAAAGATTACAGCCCAAATGTACAAAAGACATCTAAGGCAAAAAATGGGGAGCACTTCTCTGGGCATCTAAGACATTGAAAAGCAACCATGTATACTGAGGAATTTAGAAAGTCATAGTAAACAGTAATTGTAAATTGTATGCAAAATAAAAATACCCAGTAAAAGGAAATACATGGATAAATACAAAAGCAAGTATTGTATTTTTGTTTGTAACTCTACATTTTCTATGGAACCTAAAAGACAAATGCATAAAATATAATTATAAATCTGTGTTGTTGGACATACAATGTACAGATGTAATTGGTGACAACATAAAGGGGGAGGACAGAGTTTTGTTATGTTTTTGGCATTAAATTGGTATCAATTCAATATAGAATTTTAAATTTAGGATGTTATATGAAATTCCCATGATAATCACAAAGAAAATTTCTTAAAAATGTCACAAAAACAAATGAGAAGAGAATCAAAACAGCTTACTAGAAAAAATATAAACTGGGCCGCAGGGCAAGAAAAAAAAAATATATAAACTAAACATGAAAGAAAGCATAATGGAGTATTGCTGTGGTAGAATTGTTACTTCTTATGCCTGTTGCATATAATATCCAAGTGTACTATCTACCAGGAAAAAAAATTAATAAAAAATGAAGTGTGAAAAAAAAGCATAATGGATGAAATGAAGAATATTAAGCTATAAGACATAAAGAACACAAATAGAAAAATGGCAAGAGTAAGTCCTTCCTTATCAGCAATTACTTTAAATGTAAATGGAATAAACTCTCCAATCAAAAGACAGAGGTTGGCAGAATGGATAAAACAACATGATCCAACTATGTGCTGTCTACAAGAGGCTCCCTGTAGACACAAAGACGTAAGTCAGTTGAAAGTATAGAAAATATATTTCACACAAACAGTAACCAAAAGATAGCAGGAGTGGCTATACTAATATCAGACAAAATAGACTTTATTTCAAAAACTGTTAAAAAAGACAAAAAGGACATTGCATATTGATAAAAGGGCCAATTCATGAAAAATTTATAACAACTATAAACATATGTGTACCACACAACAGAGACACAAAATATATGAAGTAAATATTGACAGAACTCAAGAGGAAAACAGTTGTACAATAGTAGTTGGAGAATTCAATGCACCACTTTCAATAATACATAAAACATCCAGGCAGAATATCAATAAGGACATTGAGAAAATGAACAATACTATAAACCAATCAGACTCTACAGAAATATATACAAGACTTCACCGAATAATAGCAGAATATATATTCTCCTCAAGTGCACATGGAACATTCCCCAGGATAGACCATATTCTGAATGAGTTTGAATAAATTTTATGAGGTTGAAATTATACTATGTATTTTTTCTAATCAAATATAGAATAAAGCTAAAAGTCAATAGAAGGAAAACTAGGAAATTAAGAAGTACACAAAAATTAAACAATACATTATTAAGCAACCAATGGTCAAAGAAGAAATCACAATGGACATTAGAAAATACTTAGTGATGAATGAAAAGGAACACACAACATACCATAACTTATGGGATACAGTGACAACAGTATTCAGAGGGAAATTTATAACTGTAAATACCTACATTAAAAGAGAAAAAATGTCTCAAATCAGTAATACCTTGTGGAACTAGAAAAAGGAAGAAAACCAAACTAAAAGCTTATAGAAGTATCTTAGTCCCTTAGGCCACTGTAACAAAATACCTTAAACTGGGTAACTTGTAAACAACAGAAATTTATTTTTTTACAGTTCTAAAGGCTGAGAAGTCCAAGATCAAGGCCAATAGATTTGATGTTTAGTAAGGGCCCACTCTTTAATTTATAGATGGTGCCTTCTTGCTGTGTCCTTACATGGTGGAAGGGGCTAATAAGCTCCCTTGGAACTCTAAAAAAGGGCACTAATTCCATTTTAATCACTTCCCAAAGGCCCCACCTCCTAAGAGTGTCACACTGGGGGTTACGTTTCAACATATGAATCCTGGGAGGACACCAACATTCAGACCATTGCAAGAAGGAAGGAAATAATAAAGATTAGAATAGAGATAAAATATAAAATATAAACATAACATAGACAATACCACCAAAAATTGGTTCCTTAAAACAACAAAATTGACTAAATTTTATCTATGATGACAAAGGAAAAAAAAGACAGAAGACACAAATAACTAACCAGATATGAAAGTGGAGATACTACTACTGACCTTATAAAAATAGAAAAGATTATAAGAAAATACTATGAATAACTATATGCCAACAAATTGGATAACCTAGATGAAATGCACAAATGCCTACTAATACACCAGTGACCTAAACTGACTTAAGATGAGACAGAAAATCTCAACAGATCTATAAAAAGAAAAATCAAAACTCTCAATCAAATTAGGAATAAAATTTCCAATAAAGAAAAATTCAGAACCAGATGATTTCACTAATGAATTCTACCAAGCATCTAAAGAGGAATTAGCACTAATCCTTCTTAAATTCAAAAAACTGAAGAGGAGCGAACACTTCCTAACACATTTTATGACACCATCATTACCCTGATACCAATATCAAAGACACTCACAAGAAAACTATAAACCAGTATCTCTTATGAATATAGATGCAAAAGTCCTCAACAAATACCAGCAAACCCAATCCAATAGCATATTAAAAGGACTGTATACCATAGCCAAGTGGGATTTATCCACGAAATACAACAGGGAAAATCTTGTGTTTCAACAGGGGAAAATCAATCAATACTACGTTAACAGAACAAAGGACAATGAATAACCACACAATCATTCTCAACAGATGCTGAAAAGACACCTGACAAAATCCAATACTCTTTCATGATAAAAAACACTCAAAAACTAGAAATACAAGGGAAATTCCTCAAAATGATAAGGGCATTTATGAAAATCACGAAACCATAATCAAAATCAAGAGCGAAAGACAGAAAGGTTATTCCTTAAAATCAGAAACAAGAGAAAGGTGCCTACTTTAACCAGTGATAGCATTATATTGAAAGTTCCAGCCAAAGCAATTAGATTAGAAATAGGAACAAAAGGCATTTAAATTTGAAAGGAAGAAATACATAACTATCCCTTTTCAGATTACATTACATATAACTATCCCTTTTCAGATTACATTACTATATATGAAAATTCCAAAAAATCCACAAGAAAACTATGAGAGTTAATAAACAAATTCAGCAAAGCTACAGGATACAAGACCAACACACAAAAATCAGTTGTGTTTCTATAGGTGTGCAATGAACAACCCAAAAAGGAAATTAAGAAAGCAATTCCATTTAAACAGTTCCAAAAAAATAAAATATCTAGTAATAAACTTAACCAAGATGGTGAAAGACTTGCACACTGAAAACTACCAAACATTGGTAAAAGAAACTAAAGAAGACCTAAATAAATAGAAAGATGCTTACTTAGTTCATGGATAGAAAGACTCAATATTGCTAAAATGCCCAGTCCTACTCAAAACACTCTACAGAGTCTACAGAGTCTACTCTGACACAATTCCTATCAAAATTCCAACAACTTTTTTCCCCCCAGAAATAGAGAAGCCAACCCTTAAATTCACATGGAATTGCAAGGAGTCCTGATTGACCAAAATAACTTTGAAAAAGAAAAAGTTTTGGAAAACTCAGTATTATTCAGCCATAAAAAGGAATGAAGTTCTGATACATGCTACAGGGCCTTAAAAACATTACACTGGCCGGGCGCGGTGGCTCACGCCTGTAATCCTAGCTCTCTGGGAGGCCGAGGTGGGCGGATTGCTCGAGGTCAGGAGTTCGAAACCAGCCTGAGCAAGAGCGAGACCCTGTCTCTACTATAAATAGAAAGAAATTAATTGGCCAACTAATATATATACAAAAAATTAGCCGGGCATGGTGGCGAATGCCTGTAGTCCCAGCTACTCGGGAGGCTGAGGCAGGAGGATTGCTTGAGCCAGGAGTTTGAGGTTGCTGTGAGCTAGGCTGACGCCATGGCAGTCACTCTAGCCTGGGAAACAAAGCAAGACTCTGTCTCAAAAAAAAAAAAAAAATTACACTAAGTGAAATAAGCCAGTCACAAAAAGACAAATGTATGACTCTACTATGAAATCTTTAGAATAGGCATATTCATAGAGATGTAGATTAAAGGCTAACTGAGACTGGAGGGGAGAGGGCCTTGGGGAGTTATTGTGACATGGTTACAGAGTTTCTGTTTGGGGTGATGGAAAAGATTTAGAAACTGTTGTGATGGCTGTACAGTAGTGTGGATATAATTAATGCCACCAAATTGTATACTTCAGAATGGCTACAATGGCATATTTTATGTTATATATCATATATATTTTACTACAATATTTCTTACAAAGTATGAGATTAAAAAACTGATCAAATCATCTTACCTGTAGCATGATATGGTCGCAAATACTACGATGAGAAAGTATGCCCAGTGAAACAAAGGGATCACTGTCCTAGAAGTTGACTCAAATTCCAGTTTTCTAGAGAGTGATGTAAAGTAGACCACCTGACACAAAAATATACTCAGGTAAATAACTTATAATTCCAGTATTCACGTGTGAATTACAAAACGCTATTGAAATGCTTTATCTTATTGATTGAAACACACTAAAATTCAGTAAGATATCAAAATACATGGATTATGATTTTAGAATACAGAAGATAATGTAGATATGTTTCTTCCCACAAATCTATGATGTAGTTTCCAAAGTTTCTTTCAAAATCCAAAGTTTAAAACTCATGAATATATATAATCTGAATTTTATATAAAACTATAAAATATTGTCCTCATTAATAACTGTAGAAAGTATAGCTTTCTCTAAATTTTTATTAGGTTGGTATCCTTTACTATTTTTTTTTTTTTTTGAGACAGAGTCTCGCTTTGTTGCCCAGGCTAGAGTGAGTGCCGTGGCGTCAGCCTAGCTCACAGCAACCTCAAACTCCTGGCTCAAGCAATCCTCCTGCCTCAGCCTCCCAAGTAGCTGGGACTACAGGCATTCGCCACCATGCCCGGCTAATTTTTTGTATATATTAGTTGGCCAATTAATTTCTTTCTATTTATAGTAGAGACAGGGTCTCGCTCTTGCTCAGGCTGGTTTCGAACTCCTGACCTTGAGCAATCCGCCCGCCTCGGCCTCCCAGAGAGCTAGGATTACAGGCGTGAGCCACCGCGCCCGGCCCCTTTACTATTTTAATTGCATAAATATCATTTCCAGAAGGCCTGGTCTTCAAAGGCTCTTTCCAGAAGGCATCTAACCTCCGCCAGGCATATTTATAAGTATTAGTTGAGTTTTTGACCCAACAATTACTGAGCAGCTAATTCACATGAAGCTAAGTGTTCTATCTACAACTCACTTGAAAAATGCTGAGTCAGTTGCCTTCCTAACCATGGAAATTTTACTTAAAAGTTTGTTTTTTTATCCCAGTGAACTCCAAACAAGTTTTAGGAGGCTCTCCCAAATCAGTGAAGACTAACTAAAAGTAAGAATTTCAAAGTACTGGAATTTGATTAGAAAACCAAATGCCCAAATTGAACGCGAAGCTCAATGTCTGTACCGAACAGATCTACCTGGTGGATGTAGGATTTGTGTTATGGACTAGAATGTTACCAGAGATTCATGATTTGTGGCATCCTTCAGGGCTAATTTAAGAAAGTTGGATTAAGGACCAAATACAGTAGAGAACACCCAGCTTTGAGGCAAGGACCTTATCACACAGTCAGGGGAGTGCCACTGTTAGTGTTCTCGGAGCACGTCTTCCTCATCCTCCCATCTCCGGGCCTCCCTGTAAACTCTAACCGCCAGGTACCTGGACATTCTTCAAGTTCAGACCGTTGCTGATGTTGTTGAACTGGTTCAGGAACTGGTTCAGCCACTGCTTGCTCTGCAGGCTGTCCTCCGGGCGCTCGGTCTTCAGGTAGTACAGCAGCCGCAGGGCTTTGCTCCGCAGGAGCAACCGGTTCCCTCCCATGTGCTCACCCAAGACGTTTCCCCCAAAGAAGCCGCTCAGGTAGATAGGCTGGTCTTTGTATGTCATTATGGGGAAGGTGAGGTTTTTGAGGTTCAGCAATCTGTTCTGCTGCCAGGTGTACATGAGCGGGTTGGAGGGCACGCAGTAGGCCTTGTACCTGGCGCACACCTGCGGGTAGGTGATCTCGGTTCCGTCAACCTCTTCCACAGACAGAGACTGCACCATGTGGTCCAGTCTACTCACGTCTATAAAGGTGTCTTCTTTCAGCAGCGAGTCGGTGTCGCTGACCACCAGGACGGAGGCGAAATTGACCTCGGTGCTCATCCTGGTGGCGGAGAAGCGGTAGGTGTCGTTGGTGGTGAAGTGAGCCTGCACGAAGCGCCGCTCGGCCTTGGCGGGGCCCCCTATCGGGGTGTACTGCTCCTCGAGGTCTTCGTCTCCGTCCTTGGGCAGGTAGATCAGGCCGGTGCCGAGCGTGGCCGCCAGCATCATGGGCACCAGCAGGAAGTACCAGGGGTGCGTGCCCACCGCCCAGCCCAGCCACCCGAAGGCGCGGGACAGCCGCGCATCCAGGCAGTCCGTGTTGCAGCGGCGCCCCGGCTCCCGCGAGGATGGCTTGCCCTTATGCTTTTTCGATGGTGAGGACTGCTCTGAGGGCAAGCTCGCTGGCTGTTCCTCCTCCTGGGATGTGGGGCTTGCAGCGTCGGGCAGCTCCAACTCCGGCTCCGCCTCAGACTCCGTCTCCACCCCCACCTCCCGCATGTTCTTTGGTGCCCTTGGCACCCGCCGGGCCTCCGGGGCCACCTGAGAGGGTCTTTGGCTCATTTCCCGGAAGCACAGGTGACGTTCTCACTGGGCCAGTGGGGTGAAAAGTAGCTGCTGGACGGAGCTCCCTCCCGCCCCACTCACTCAACGGCTTTTCTCCCTCTCCCTTCCACCCAACGGTTTCCTGGAGAAATTCTAAGGAAGTCAGTTGGAGCTGGGGCTGGGGATTTAAAAACAGAATTGGTACAAGCCATGCTAGTAAAATGAAGAAAAAAAATATGAAAATAAATAAATTAAAAAAAAAAACATAGCCGGGCGCGGTGGCTCACACCTGTAATCCTAGCTCTCTGGGAGGCGGAGGCGGGCGGATAGTTTGAGCTCAGGAGTTCGAAACCAGCCTGAGCAAGAGCGAGACCCCGTCTCTACTATAAATAGAAAGAAATTAATTGGCCAACTAATATACATAAAATAAAAAAATTAGCCGGGCATGGTGGCGCATGCCTGTAGTCCCAGCTACTCGGGAGGCTGAGGCAGCAGGATCGCTTGAGCCCAGGAGTTTGAGGTTGCTGTGAGCTAGGCTGATGCCACGGCACTCACTCTAGCCTGGGCAACAAAGCAAGACTCTATTTCCAAAAAAAAAAAAAAAAAAAAAAAAACAGAATTGGATGGAGAAAACATTTATCAACACAATTTGTTTCTTCCTCATCCATATTTCGTAATAGATAATTATACTGAATATCAGGTACTGTAGGTAAATTTACACTTTAGAGTTGTATATAATTTCATGAAATAAAATCCTAGTGATCTGTTTCTCTTTTATAAAATCACCTAACTGAAAACCTTAATTGAGGCTTTTCTCATGATAGTACCAATACATTTTTAAATAAAATGCCCCTCTATTTAAAATGGGGTTATGTCCGGACAAAGATAAGTTGAAAATATTGTAAATCAGAAGTGCATTTTGTTTTTCTTCTTCTTGTCCCTCCCCCGTTCTCTTCAACCTCTAGTCAATCCTGTTGCCCACTGGCCTAGCACTGCTTTCACCATGGCCCTCAGCGATGCTGATGTGCAAAAGCAGATTAAGCATATGATGGCTTTCATTGAACAAGAAGCCAATGAAAAAGCAGAAGAAATAGATGCAAAAGCAGAAGAAGAGTTCAACATTGAGAAAGGTTGGCTTGTGCAAACCCAAAGACTGAAGATTATGGAATACTATGAGAAGAAAGAGAAGCAGATTAAACAGCAGAAGAAAATTCAGATATCCAATTTGATGAATTAAGCAAGGCTCAGAGTCCTCAAAGCAAGAGGTGACCTTATCACAGACCTACTAAATGAAGCAAAACAGAGACTCAGCAAGGTGGTCAAAGACACAACCAGGTACCAGGTGCTGCCGGATGGACTGGTCCTCCAGGGTTTTAGTCACTGGAACCCCGAATGACTGTTCGTTGCAGGAAACAGGATTTACCTCTGGTAAAGGCTGCAGTGCAAAAGGCGGTCCCTATGTACAAAATTGCCGCTAAAAATGATGTTGATGTTCAAATTGATCAGGAGGCCTACCTGCCTGAGGACATAGCTGGTGGCGTTGAGATCCATAATGGAGATCGTAAAATAAAGGTTTCCAATACCCTAGAAAGCCGGCCGGACCTCATAGCCCAGCAGGCGATGCCGGAAGCACGGGGAGCCTGTCCGGCGCAAATGCCGATAGGAAGTTTTGAACTAGGCCTTCGGAACACGGAGTCCATCCACTACTCTACGGCTACGATATTTAAAGAAGCGAGAGTGTCTGTGTAGCTCCCTCTCCGCTGTCCTAATGTTGCTCTGTGTTTATCAGTGGGTGCCCTTCTGTGGCCGATGCCCTTGGCCTAGTTGCTAACAGTGGGAGAGCGTTCCGCTTGCTGTGATCAGGACCCGCCTCTAGTTCATCGCAGAGTAACAGCTCCCAGCTGGCCCCACAGCGCTGGGTGGGGGTCAGACGGCGCTGCATGAACTTCGCCAAGTCTCCTCCTCCTCCCCAGCTCCCAGTTATCTAGTCTAGAGGGTGACATGTATAGTGTTCTCTGCCTTGAAGTCTCTGTTCTTTAGGTTTAAAACTCATGTGGCACACGCATTCCTCCCAGCAGTAGTAGCTTCACTGTCACCTATTTCAGCCTAGACATTTTCCTCATCTGTAAATGTGATTTGAAACCTAAGCTATGAATATGCTTTATTTATTAAAACAAAAGATTTATGTGGAAAAACAAAAAACAAAACAAAAAAAGTGCATTTTCAACTTAGGTACATTTTCGATTTACTATGGGTTTATCCAGACATAACGGCACCCTAAAGAGGAGCATAGTGAATGCATATCACTTTTGCACCATCATCATTTTGAAAAATCCTGAACCATCCAAGCCAGCGACCATCTTACTTACATCTGAAAGGCTTCTATTCATATTTAAGGTCTTTACTAATTACATTCATATATAATTCAGCAACTCAATTAACTCCTTTTTTGTGCCTTGTTTCATCTATAAAATGCAAACAGGTGTGTTAATCTCCAGTTGGAAGCATGGAGAAAGCAAACATAACATAGTTTTAATTTTAAAAATAAAGGAAGACTCTTCTACTTACAAAGCTTAGGAAGTAAGGTTTAGGTAAATCATTTTGGTTGATAAGGCACTTTAAAAGAAACACTAGACTAGACGTTCTTTATTGTTATAAAATTCTATAATCAGGTTATTTTCCTTCACATTAATTCAATGATTTTTTTTTTTTTTTTGAGAAAGAGAGGAATAGGGTCTTACTTTGTCACCCAGGCTGGAGTACATGGCATGATCATAGCTCACTGCAATCTTTTTTTTTTTTTTTTTTTGAGACAGAGTCTCACTTTGTTGCCCAGGCTAGAGTGAGTGCCATGGCGTCAGCCTAGCTCACAGCAACCTCAAACTCCTGGGCTCAAGTGATCTTTCTGTCTCAGCCTCCTTAGTAGCTAGGACTACAAGTCAGCCACCATGCCTTGCTCATTACTTTTTCCTTTTTGGTAGAGACAGGGTTTCACTATATTGCCCAGGCTGGTAACTCAATGATGACTGGACCTTACCTTTCTCAATATAATTCTTGGGGGCCCAAGCAGGATCCCCATCTGCATATGGATCATTATACTGAACTACTGCAGCCTCCTCGTCTTCATAATCCACTGGAGGTGGTGGTGGTGGAGGTGGAGAATCATCAAACATGGGAATGTCATCTACTGGAGGTGGTGGTGGTGGAGTTGGACTATCAGCAACTAAAAAGTGTCAAATAATCAATCAGAAATTAATCTAAATGGAAATTTTTAAAAAAAAATTTTTTTTTTATTCCTTTATTTATTTATTTTTTTTCCATTTTCAGTTGGCCAATTAACGTTTTTTTTTTATTTATTTTTTTTTTTTTTATTTTTAGTAGAGACGGGGTCTCGGCTCTTGCTCAGGCTGGTCTTGAACTTCTGAGCTCCAACGATCCACCCGCCTCGGCCTCCCAGAGAGCTAGGATTACAGGCGTGAGCCACAGCGCCCGGCCTAAATGGAAATTTATAAGTTAATAGAATTTAAGAAAGCTCTAACATATATAGCATGCACTATAATAAAACATGCAATGATTAGAAATAAAAGCTTGGTGTGTTAAAGGTTATGTTACTCATTTTTTATCTATTATTTTATCTTTACTGATATATGTATTGTCAATTAATTATCACAATATTGGGTTAAAAATCCTGATTTAGTCCAATCTTTTAGTCAAGCCTGGCAAGGGTGAGCAATTTGCCCACTTCTACCACTTATAAGTGGTTTTGCTAAAGTAAGTCTTCTCAATCATGTCTTGGTTCCAGACACTATGCCATAATATCCAACTGTGTCCAATTACTGGTCCTGGTAAAGGTTATGTTACTCTTAAGAATAATTTTGGAGTGGGGATCATGATGGCAGATGAGAAACACCGCCAGACAGCATGTCTCTTCAGAAAAGATAGATTCTAGAAGAAATTAGAAAAAAGAAGCAAGAAGGCGAGCATACAGCAGACGAGAGCCAGAAGGAGGGGTACCTGAGACCATGGGAGACTCCACGGGAGGAGGCTGTGGAGGAGAACTGGAAGCTGGGACCGCGGAGCAGCCTGGAGACCAGCGGGAAGGGTAGGTGGCTGTGCCATTTCCCCTACCCTGCATCCTGGACTGCTGGTGGGCTCCCCAGCGGGTGGAGAGACCTGCAGACACCAGCCCAGAGACGGCTGCCACCAGCTAGCGGTGAGCCTGTAGTGGACGCGGCACCAGGCTCCCAAATCCCTCCTGGCACCTCCGTGTGCACAGACCTGAGCCTCGCGGCAGGCGCCATATTGCCTCCTTCTCCCCTCCGACGACCCTACCCCCAGCTGCCCAGAGAGACAATATAGTCACCAGCCAGAGGCACCTCCAGGGAACAGGACCTTCCCTTTTGGGACCCTACAGCTGACTAAGGGGAACTAAAGACTGTGAGGTACCTACCCGTCAGCCCTCCCGGGTGCTGCTGGCACAGTGATCCCAGGAGAACGGGGCAAACCCTGAGGCTGAGAGACATAGACCCAGCTTGGGCTCCCTGTGGGTGAATTGGGACTGGCACTCCTCTCCCTGGTGGGGATACAGTTTGAACTCTGGGACTCAGAGGTCGGACCTGCAGAGCAGATCCCATGCACCGAGGTCTAGCATTACGCGGGGTACAGAAGGAATATATGTGAACAGCCTACTGAGGTGTGTGTGCCTTCAGGGGCAGATCAGTGTCCTAGAGGGCAACCCTCCTCCCAAAAGAGGCCGTGTGCCCAGCCCAGGTGGCGTTCCTGCACGGGGAACCTCCCTACCGGCAGCACAGCCAGGGGAGGCCTGGTGGCATGTGGTCTGGCCTGCTGGCAGAGGCCCAGGAGTAGCTGTGGAGTTGGAGAGGGTGGAAAGAAGTGAGGCTCGCTCCAGACTGCGGGTCTCAGACAGCCCCACCCCCACACCCAGACTTTCTGGCTGAGCGAGACCATTCCAGTCCCTCTCTGTCAGCTTATCCTGGAAGCAGATAACAGAAATTTGACCCCTGCTAAAGGCATTGGTGGTGCCTGAGGGCAGGCTTACCCAACCCAGCTCTGCCAAGAACAAGAGCTGATAACAGGACACAAAAACAACAGCACAGCATGTTCC